ACAGTTATGAAACAGACAAAACTCACAGGCACCATTTAGAACCACCTCTTGTAATGAATACACAAATATGGCAGGAAAAAGCCCAACTGTCCAAACTTTGATAACTCTTGATTTGGGTCTAATGAACAACTCAGCCACAATCATCTCCTCACTGTAACATATCAGCTAGATGGAAAAATAAAGACATCATGATAAAAGCCACTACTAGAATCAGATTTCCTTTTAAACAATCTCCATATGGTAAATTACTGATCTGTATACCAGACATGCCTTTGTGTGTGTGTTTCTTTGTGCTTTTATGCAAACTAATACTAAGCTATTGATGCATTAATTACTTTTAATGGTAGCAGAATTATTATGTGTGGTAGTCTCCTAAGGCTTGGGCTGAATCTAGAATATTTAAGGAAACTTCAGGAAGAATTACAGACACACAGCAATTGTGTTGAAATGCTGGCATTTGTCTCTTCCTGATATCTATCTGGTGAGTGACAGATCTTAGGTAACTGTAAAACTTTGACTCCAATAATAAAAAATCCCATTCTTATGGGTCACCAAAACCCTAGGAGAGGTTACTACTCTATTTCAGATACAGATAAATACAGAAAAAAATACAACATCTACCAATCTAGGTGCCTGTTTATTTTTTAAAAATAAATAGCCACTTTCCTTTAGTTCTAGCAGATATAACACTTTTCTTGCTCGCAGGCAAATTTCCGGAATTTCAGTTGTGAATTGCTTTTCCCCTATCACTTACCCAAAGAAGTCAATCTCTGTTTTGATTAAGGCAATGAAATATACTTTTACTATTTAGATGAAAGGTTGCTTTAAAATAATCCATGGTTGAATGGTCAGTGGCAGCACCGGCTGAAAGTCAGTGCTGCGAAGTACCTTACACAATTCCTGTCGGCACTGGGTATGTGTCCCCTTTATTTAAACGTGGCTCCTTTATTCAGCATGTGTTTATTACAAAGTAGAGCTAATTTATGACCCATGATCTATCACTCTCATTCCTCCTGCTTATTATGCATCTTCTTATTTCTGTATGAAGTGATGTAGCTTTGAATCTGCGAATTCACACAAGTGACATTGTGCAGCGCAACAGCAATGTGACTGAGGCCTTATTTCATTTCTACTCTCTGCATTGCTGATTAGTCTACTAACAACACTCTAAATTTATGGGGTCTGTAAACTCCTAAGTTATGATGGTTCTTTGGATGTTAATTATCCCCATTCATACACCCTCTTTATTATATGTTTGATATACAGTATAGATGGCTGTCCTTTGTATTCTGAGAGAACGCCACTAGTGGCAAGTCCCATCTCTGTGACTGCCGGTGCCAGAAAGAGCAGCATGAGTCTAGCAGAACTTTCCCTGGATGCATGGAAGGCGGGCTTCAGAAAGAAGCCACACCCGGCTATTGTAAGAGTCTGCATTTGTGCCTCCATCAAAGCCACCAAGTTTATGGCATTTTAACACAGATTTTATGCTAAGGGAACGGAGCCTCAAAGCTTTTTCTCCTTTGAATAATTTTATGCACCTTAGGAAAAGAAGACATCCTTATATATCCTGAACTTCACTTCAGCTCTTCTTTCAACCCTCAAGGTGTTAAAAAGGAAAAATTGGATATCTATATCTCTTATATTCAGGGTTCAGTATAGTAATTTTTATTTGCAAATATAAATACCTTCTTTGACTCAGGTTAATCATATATCAGAATGGACTTCCCTCTCTCTCTCTCTCTCTCTCTTGCTCTCTCTCTTTATCCTTCTCCCTCTCCCTCTCTCTCCCTGTCCTCCTCCTCTTCTCCTCTTTCTCCATCTTCTTCTCCTTCTCCTTTTTCTTCACCTAAAAGGTGAATGAAGCCACCTACACTTTTCCTTCTAGACTGACCTCAGATCTTGAGTCACATTCAGTAAATCACAGTGTCAAGGTATTTTTTTTAATTATTTAGTTCTTAAATTAACAAAAAGCAGATAAATGCAGGATGTCCATCATGATGTTTACATTATGGAATGGTAAAATCTGGGTAGATAATAGACCCATTACATCATCATGTCCAATTTGTTACCCCAGAAGAGGGCTGTGAAAAATGTGAAAGATTTTCAGTAGAGAAACACAGAAAAGCCAGGATAGAGAGTATTTCACCCCTTAGCCTTTATTGCATACTGGTTACACCTAGCACAATGATATCCTGTTTAACCACTTTGTCTTGCATTAAACCTCCCAACAAACATGGAAATGAGGTGACATGACCCCCATTTACAAGGGCAAGAAGCTGAAATCTGTTCAGGTTTACAAACCCACTTAAGGCCATACACTTCTAGCTGGTAACACTGAAATCCAAGGTCTCCTTCAATATGAAAACCTTTTTCTGTTTGTCTAATGCTAGAGTAGAGAAATATAGACAGTGATTTAAGAACGACCTTGGGTTATTTTGTAAGTCTCTGATGATATTCTCCATATCCACAGGAATCAAAATAGAGAAATAAAAATAATAAGCTCTATTCGTAGTATGAGATATTGAGAAATTGAGATGTTTATAAAAAGTAATTTCTCCACAAACTTGTACATGAAAGTGCGCTCTCCTTGTTAGACCAGCAAGATAGATTCTACTTTGGACCTTAGCTTTTAGAATAAATCCACATTAAGCAGCATTGAGGGCACAGATAAAAGCCTAATCTAGTTATCTATTGTATAATAAGCTACCTTAAAACTGGATGGGATAAAACTGAAACCGTGATACTATGCTCCGTGATACTATACTACAGTTTGACTTCTCTTTACTTCCAGATGTCTGAGGTCTTGGCCACAGTAGCTTGCATATCTTTAGGAGATTAGAATGGCTCCATTGAGGTCCTGTATCTAGAGCCCTTCTTCTGGCTATTGACTGAGTTCCTTGGTGCTATGTCACGTGCCAATGTTGAGGACAGAAATGAGCAAGATGGCTTCTTTTCTTATATTGGACTCTCCACTGGCACGGCTAGACTAGCTGAGGACTGGCCACTTTCTCCCTGCAGCCTAACAGCCTCCATGTCTGAGTATCTTGGGCTACTGTGCAGCAAGGAAGTATCAAAGCAGTTGGACGTCTTCCATGGTAACTGCCTGCCTTCAGGCATTCCAGTACAGCAAAGTGCCAACTATGCTGTTTCTACAAATCAGTCTCATTAAGTCAATTTCACTGCATTCTTTTGATCACTCAGATAAGCCAAGATGCTCTATGGAAGAGGACTTGATAGGGCATCATTACCAGAATCTATAGGTTTTTTGGGATATTTTTGGAAACTAACTACAATAAGCTTCATGAAATTTTAGGGTTGAAATATATGTATGCAGCTGGTTAAATATGCTCCACACATAAACCATTGGTCACAAAGAAGGACAAGGAGACGGAAGAACCTAGGAATAAAAAATTAGTGTTCTATGCCACTGAGTACAATTTTATGTGTAGATTAAAGATAACATACTCCCAAAAAGTTCTGACACCTTCCTAGGCAGGGAACATCAGGTGTCTCAAGTGAATTACATATTAGTGATCTATATTTTTCCATATACACGGGTAAAAATTGCTTAAGGCTGTAACTTGTAGCTTTTGATTTGCATCTTCATTGCACCAAGGAATGCTGGGATGTGACACATATGTTTGACTATTATAGCTGAAAATAAAGTAGTATGGGTTTAATTTTATTGGCAAGAGACCAGCTTTTCATAATTTTAGCCTAGTGAATTGTTATGGGCCATAATTCAAATTTAATGATCTGACTGTTGAAACAGTAATATCCCAGCTTTGAGCCAGGCATACTGTTGCTTCCTAGGAAAGACAATTATTTTACTTGCCAGGTACCCCTTCCATTTTTTTGTGCATTGATAAATAGAAGCCTATAGCTACAACTGGACCTAACCAAGGCAAATGGCTGAGTCACCAAAGCTCATGTGAACACGTGAACATGTGTGGTTCTGTTTGAGTCTAGTGAGTGCATTGCTAATGGCACAGCACAGGGTAGAGATTTCACTGTTGACAGCGACCATATGTTCTTCCAGAAGCTTCCTGTGTAATTTTCAGCTTAGTGTATATTCAGCTGAGGGCTTGAATAGCTTTACCTGCAGCAAAATATTCTACCTACAGGCTGCTCTACGTGATGTGTTATATGAAATGGATAAATGATTCTAAAATATGCTAGAAGTGAATTTTCTTACTAAGACAGCCTTGAATGAAGTAACTTTGCTGCTAAACTACTACCTTGTCTGTAGGGACCAAGACAGGATTATGTTGAGTCTCATAAACAGAACACATAGAAAAACTAATACTAATTTTAAAACATAGCCAAGTGTTTTCTGTCAATTGATAAACACTATGAATAATGATTTTATTGTCTTCTATTTAGGAAGGACATCTTTCCCTTCCCTGATAACATCTTATCAATCTGCTTCATATTAACTCGGTAATAATTCATTTACTTACAAAGTACAGTAGTTAAATCTCACCAATTTGATAGGCCAGAAAATATTGAAATAGTAGGACAGGTTTTCACGGTCATTGCTTCCTTGTCCTACCATTCTGACTATTCAAGATCAAAGTCATGCAAAGTCTAATGGCTTAGATACTAAGAGAAGGCATACTTAAAGCAATCAGGATGGAATCCTGGATCTACCATATGATAAAATACGACTTTGACAAACTGCTTAACTTCCCTTAGCCTTGATTTTCTTCTTTGCAAAAACAAGGGCATTGTAACCTTATTTACTTCCCTCTGTAGCCGTAAAGTTTACACAATATAATTCATTCAAGGGTTTAACACATCCCTGCAAAACAGGAGCACTGAATAAATATGAACTTATATGAAAACTACTGGAATTTGTTTTGCTTGTTCATGAAAGAATTCTTAGTCTCATTACTTAAACTAATCTCAGTTATGGGGGTATCTGCCAATTAGACACCACTGAAGATTTAGTAGATCATGGTCAGAAATCAGGCGTGTTACAAACAAGTCATTTTACAGTATTTTTAAGTGATACATTTCTGATTTACTTTACATAATAAAACAGTAACAGTATGGGTAAGTAGTTGAATTTGGATCTTTCACTCATTTTCTGCACGGACTTTTATAACTAACAGTGTACCTTGAAGGACCCCATACAATCAGGAACAGCAATTCCAGTAGTGGCCAGTTCAATGTCACCCTCCCTGTGAAGTAAATATAAAGTAAGCTTAGTAATGAGCAGATAGGTTGAGGATCACCTCAACTACATAATTTTATAGTCTGAGTAATTAAACTCCATAGTTCAATAAAATGTTTTTTCATGGTTTTCTTTAAAGAAAAGTGTAGGAGTGAAAGTATTCATTTATCTCAACCACAGCTCAGAAATTAGTATTTCTTCAGTTTATTTTAGAAAAATGTTTGTAAGATATTGTTCTTATATAATTTGTACAGTTATACATGTACAGATTGTTCTTTTCCATTTGTGGTGAGATAGTAATTTATTCTTAAAAATTCTATATGGTGAAACTTCGTGCTTCAAGCAGTAAATTCATGGGATCATAAAACAATAATTTAGTTTCAAACATGCCTGAACCACTGTAGCAAGGAAAATGAGGGATGTCTCCAAACTTGGAGATCTCTCCAAGCTTTCATTTGATTTAGGCTCAAGAAGCCTTTAAATAACTATTGCCCAAAAGAGTACATTTTCTTCTTTCACTCAACCAAAGCCAGTGGTTTCTCATTTTCTGGAGCACATTCTGAGGTGTCACCATGGTCCAGAGGAAGACAATTCTATACTAACCATGATGAGATCGACAGGTGACAGATAAGAAATGGAAATTCATTTTGCCTCTGATAGTTCAGAAAGGATTCTCTTCACTGAGATATCCTGAAAGCAGGCTTTATATTTGTTATTTGTGGTTTTATGTGTGTATGTATAAATGTGTGTGTTCAAATGTGTATATATTTATAGGTACATGATAGATAGATAGATAAACAAACAGACATATATTTAAACCACAAGTACCAGAGACAGTAGGAAGCGTTTCCACTTTACGCTGGGTATTACCTTTTCAGTGCCGGTAAAGCTTTCTGAGAAAGAAAACGTTGTGTTCTGTTGAGTGTACTTGTCATTGACAATCTCCTCACCTCTGTGAGTACTTCAAAAAGTTATGTCAAATCCTCACTGTCTACAAGGGTTTTACTTTCAAGAACCAGACCTGGCCCTATTCATTACTTGCCTTTCAGGTCAGAAGCCAGAAAGTCAGCCTCTCCAGAAGTCTGATTAGCACTTGAACTTCAGGAGATTTATGACCACTGTACTTGATTTTTAAAGCAGTTTTATCTGAGTACAGAGCATTCATTCTGTGGACAGTGGTATTTATCTTCCACCATTTCCATGCATTTTATGCCTAAAATATACAACTGTGCTTTTCTTTTTCTGTTGTTGGTAATATATTTATTAGAGAATGGTAATAACCTCATCCTCAAATACAGTACAGTATCAATTTAAACAGCTTCATGTAAATTTTTAAAGGTAACTTCTCTAATCAGTATTTTAAAGGAAATGAGAGAATTTTGACAATATACTGGTTATACTTCTGAGTTTATGACCTGCACTTCGGATCTCAGGCTTTAACATTTGCCTTACATTTCTTATTTGTCTACTAAGGAATGAGTACTTGTTTGAACTGTAGAAATTACAAAGAGGGATACTCCTTGATAGGATCAGACTCTAGTTCAGCACTGTTTGATAGAAATATAAGGTGAGCAACATGTGTGATTTAAAATTGTATAAGAGCCACTTTCAACAAAATCAAAAGAAAGATTAAATTAATATATACTACATGCATTATATAAGCTGTTATTTCAACATCACTTCATTTTTAAAATTATGAATGGATAGCTTAAATTCTTTCATTCTTAAAGCTACTTTAAGATGCAAGGTGTATGTTACAACTATAGCACATTTCAGTTTGGAACTGTTATGTTTCCGTAGCTCAGTGGTCTCATGTTTTGTGGGTATCACAGCAGCAGTTGAGCTCTTGTTGCTGGAATAAGAGAATGATCATAATCAGAAGATGATAAGGATACAACCTTCAAGGGTGAGTAGGGTACTTATCACAGCATGGTAGACAGTAGATAATGAGTCTCTGCTTTCAATTTAAGTGATGCTTTACCTGAACCTTAGATGAAAATAGGGTCATCCAGGCCAGTATAGTTGTGAGAACATTGATTTGGTAGTAAGGTCAGGGTTAGAGTCACCACTTTACCACTTATCAGCTGAGATCCTTTGGCAAGTTAATTAATGTCTTTAAGCTTCAGTGTAAGCTTAAAGACATTTAAGATAAGGTTGTGATGAGGTTAATGTGAGAAATACACCTGTCATGTTGACCACTGTGTAGTAGACATCCTTAGTGGTGTAACTGAATATGGTTGTACACACATTGTACCAAAAGACCATTCTGCTGGGCTGTGGAGGATGGGTGACTAACCAGTGAATTGTAAACAGAGGCACAGAAAGAAATGCAGAGAGTCTGAATTTACATAGTGGATAAACAGAGGTAAAAACAAGTGGCAGGGGAAGAAGAGTACTAGCAGTAGAAACCAGAGGACAAGACACTCATGCAATTCCAGCACTGAATAAGGCAATTAGGTGAAAAGGTGGATTAAACTGGGAAATACAGATTTTTATGAAGGAAAGGGAAGAAATGCATAGCCTCAATTCTAATTAGCATAGTTTGAGGGCACAGTGGAAATTCCACATAGAGGTGAAAGAAAGATGGGGGGAGATTGTGGAGAGAGATACTCACTGGAAAGAATCAAGAGGCATATTAGCAGACTAGGCACTGCTCTGAAAGATTTCCCTGTGCTGTCCTTGGAATACCAGTGAAGCCCTCCATGCAGGTTCTACAAGGGTATGAACCTGACAGATGACTAATCTATAGCTTGCAGCCATTCAGTAAATTGCTCAGGACCCTGCAGGCAATAGGTGTGGGCTCAAGGACTCTGTACTATAGAGGTGTGACTTCCAAGTCCATAAAGTTCCTGGACATGTTATTGAGCCATCTAAAGTAGGAAATAAATATATTAACAGGCTGTAATCCTCCCACTTGAGAGGTCAGGACAGGAGGATCACCATGAGTTCAAGGCCAGCCTGAAATTGTAGGGAAGTACTATCTCAGAAAAAAACAAAAGACAAAAGAAAAAGAAAGTGGGAAAATAATTCACCATAGCCAGAAAGAACACAAAAGAGATAGATTTGAAAACATCAGTATTGCTAGAAGCCAAATATTTAGAAATGCAAATAACCCATAAATGAACTTCTGGTAACAAGTCTTTTGCATAATGAGAACATTTTTGGTGGTTATGTCATTACTACATTGAAGGATTTGTTAATACCTTTTCCACTATCTTAATTGTCTTGCAAATATGGCATACAGGTCAGATTAATCTACTGCATAATCATAATACTAAAGAGATTGCTGATTGCAAGCCTGAATTTTGTGATTTAGATTTTTTTTTTAAGAAAATTTAGTTCAGGCAGATTTTAACGAGTTGAGAATTGAATTGCCCAGTCAAAACGGTCAACATCAAAACACTTGTCATCTTTCACTGAAGATTCTTTTACACTACCTTCAGCAAACCTCCAAAAAAGTCTATTCCAGACTGATATGGAAATCTCCAGACTTCCCCTCTTTGATGTATAAGAGCAACTGAAATGAAAAAGAAGAATTGTTATGGTATTGCTTTGTTCAAGAGGACCCTCTCCAAGAGTGCTATCTAAGGACTACATCTTCAGATATTTCAGGTTGAATAAACATTGGATTATAACTTGGGGTTGTGTCATAACTGGGGAAAGTAGAACACTTCATGGTGAGAAAAGACCAGCACTGAATGAGACCAGATTTTGCAGGACAGTAGCCCCAGCTTTAATTCTTGCCTCTGCTCTTCCTGGCCTCTGTTCAAGTTACTTAAAATTTCTGATGTGTAGTCACATAGGCACGGAAATGAGGATAAGAAATCTCACCTATAATGCTAAGGTGAAGTTTGTCCAAAACATGTGAGACAGTTAAACTGGATTGTCAACTTGACTGACGTGAGAGCTTCCTAGTAGTAAAGCACACTGAGGGGTATAGCTGGGTGGGTCATAGATGCATTCACTTGAGTCCTATAATTGGTCACTGTCTTCTTCCTCTATGGAGCTATTACCTTGCCTTGATTCGCTGCTTTCCTCCATCATGCCCTTCATTCACGATGTTCTCACCTTGGACTGCACCCTCAGAAACTCTGAGCACAGATAAATCTTCCCTCCTTCAAGTTGTTATGTCTCAGCAATGAAAAGCTGACATAACATGTAATTAATACTATGTAAAAATTTACCATAATCTGAGTGACTTACAATAACACAGACATATTTTCATACAGTTTCAGAAGTCAGAAGTCCAAAATGACTCTGACTGGGCTAAGTTAAGGTGTTGGCAGGACCAGGCCTTTCTGGAGGCTTGAGGGGAGAATGGATGTCTTTGCCTCTCACGACTTCTAAAGGCCACCTGCATGTCTCAGCCCAAGACACCTTCTCCTCCTTCCTCCTTCCTCCTTCTTCTGTTGTCCTGCCCGCTACTAGAAGGCACCTTCTTCACCTTTTACATGTTCCAGAAAGGAAGATCATTTAAATCAGTACTTTCAGCCAGAGGCACTTTTCCCCCACAGGGGGTATTTAGCAATGTTTGAAGTTATTGGTTGTCACATCTTTGTGGAATTAGGCACACCTAACATTAACCAGAGGCTAAACAGCCTATGGTGCTCAAGACAGATCCCTAAAGTGAAAATTTATCCACCCCCAAATTACAAGGGTTCTAGAGTCAAAAAACTCTGACCTGGAGGTTAGGATTACTGACCCCAGTTGTCTGGTTTTTAAACTTGCTCTCACCACTTACTAAACCAGCCTTGGTCATGTGGCACCATTTCTCTGGGCCTCAAGTTTTTGATCTATCTTGTTTTGTTTCTATTTTTGACATATGTTAAATAATCATCATCACCATCATCATAATAATAGTATATATCTCATTGAGTTGCTGTGGAACTGAATGAGGTGTGTGTGTAAAACCTCAGAACAGTGCTTGACATATACCAAGCATTTGAGGAATGCTGGTTTTCCTTAGTTCTACTACTGACAGTAAATAATACTTGATTTCATTTGTGCTTTTCCAGGCTCCAATCAAAAGATATCCTCAATGAGTAAGTGAAAATTTGTCAGTTTTATGAGTAGAATGCATTTAAATCAACAGCACACCAAATTATTTTACCAACTGTTGTTCATAAAGTCAGGATCTTCACAGAACTTTAAGATTAGTTAATGATCTATCTAAGCCCAGCCACCTCCAAGGAGTCTTTCTTTGTTCCTAAAATTCCTAAAATTCAGTGACACCACAAAAAAGGACCAGGAAGCAAATAATTTTACATCTCACAAATCAGCCCTTGGCAACAACACTTAGTGTGAGGTGCTTCTGGCAGCTGTAATGTACCCCATTGTTTTAGTGGATACATGTAAATTAAGAGGCTTATCAAGTCACTAGTTGAACAGGTGGTAAGGCTTTAGAAAATACACATACCATACCGTGTGCCATCCTACAGAGTAGCCCTCTGCTTCATAAAGCTATTGATCACTTAAGTGTTGAGTCGAGATGAGTTTCATGCATAATTTACATACCAAATTCTGAAGATTCATCAAGCAGAAAGAATGTGAAAGATCTCATTAATTTTTCTTTTGATTACATCTGTAAATCAATTTCAGATATGTAGAGTGGAACAAACTATATTATTAAATTTAATTTCACTTGAATTTGTTAAAATGATGTTATTATAATGTTTTAAATTACCTAGGCATTCACGTTATATTTCTACTGAAGAGCATTCTTCTTAACACCACTACATATCATTCCAGAAACCAACATAGAGTGAAGCAACCTGTCTTAAATGAGGAGTGCCCTAGTAGATACAGGAGCCAGCTCCAAGGAGATAAAATAAAGATAAGATTTCCATCTGCTTTGGTGTTTAGCAAAGAACAGGTGGTGGACCTTTGGCATTAGTCACTTGGTATTGTAGATTCTTGGGTTCTATTCCAGCTACCTCTATCCACAATCCCTGTGTCCAAGAATCTGGACATGTAAAGAAATTCCTTCTTGATTTTTATTCTCATTGAAACTTGAAATGACAGACAAACTTATCACAAACAAAGAAATAACCAATCAGCAAAGATACACACACACAGGACCTACAGGAATGCATCTATTGTATTGTACTCAGTATCTGTCCCCACTATATATAGTAACTAAAGTGTTTTACATCACTGAATTATGTCCGGGCTGAGGAGGAACAGTATCATGCAATATCTCAATATCATTCACTTCTACACTACATCATAGTACCTGATTGCTTTCTGGGATGACAGGTCATTTATTCAGCAGATATAAGTGGATTTTGCCATCTCTGTTTTCACCTTATTAAATTATCCAAAGACCAAGGTGCAAGAAAATACTGGTTCTTCATCAATGGAGAATACTGGTAATTAAGTGTCCCCTTGAAAGAACAAATTTCCTTGGAAGAAAAGGAATATACATATATGCATGTTTGTGTGTGTACATATACATGCATACATATGTATTTATGCATATGTACCTATATTTATTTATATTGAGTTAGAGAAATAAAGAACAAGTTAGAAATACAAAGAAATGATTTGCGTGATAAATAAAGTTGCTTATTACAGAGTTACTATGATTACAGCAGTTTTATGAAATTTTAATTACATTATACACTTACTCAAATATTGGTTTTGAACATTAATTGAGTTACTTGAGAAGCATTTCATGAAATGGGAAATAAAAATGAAATGGCTTATTTACTTATCCCAATGCATTAAAGATAAAATCCAGTAAGGAAACTCATAAGAAAGAAATTGAAGACTCTACTGAAATCTCACTCAGAAGAAGCCACTGGGAGGTTTGCAGGTGCCTAAATCATCTTGGGTGATTGAATAACAATATATTTACGCTCACAAGACAATGCTTAAAGTGCAGGATGAGAGACTTAGAAGTGTATTATGGCTTACTACTTCTTCCAACATCATAAAGTTTAGAAATCCGTCTGATAGTCTATTGTGATAAGTGAGCAAAATGCCTCGTAATTGTATTCTAACCCAGTGCTATTTGTCAGGTCCAGCAATCAACAGACTGAACGGATGAGAAGGAGTTAGCGAAAGCATAAGGAAAGCAGGGGAAAGTAAGGTGCTTGTCTTGGTTAGCCAGAGACTGACAGTAACTTGATGTGACAGATCCACGGTGTGCTATTGCATATGTTTTCTGTCCCAGTGATTTCTTTCCTGTTATAAATTACACGGGACAGTGACTTCGTGAAAACCTAGATGTCAAACTGCTATACGACTTCGTATATATTTATTTTTAATTATCCTCAAAAATATCCTAGATTCAAGTTAGTAACCCCAGCTGAAATAGAAATTTTAAGGGAAAACCAACTACTCATTTTTATCTAAGAACAGCCTATATTCAAGCATAGTCAGCGGTATAGTAGCAAACCACTTTTGTCAGTTTTCAAATCAATCACACGATTAGACACTTGGAGCAATGCCTCTTGGAACATAACCAGGACACCTCTGACTTAGCTCTATATTTATCTACAGTTAGAAATTATAGCCTTAAAAATATACCCAGAGCAGAAGTTCTCACCTACACGTAATACTTTCAAAAGCTAAGCAGTCTTTACACACAATATTATTACCCTTTAGTACAAGTTCTAAAAATGAGCAGCAAATAAAAAAACACCCAGAATTCAATACTGAACTTTCTAATGTTTTGCGCGTATGTTTTAAATTCAGATTCATTTTGTTTAAAAAAGAAAATGTAATATTCTCAAATAGTTTGACCAATACAACTCTTATGTTATTAATTGTGGGAACTAATACTCCTTAGCCATGTCCTTGGCATTGGAGTCTTACTCTAAATGTTGATATTATTTCACAAAAGCCTTTTTAAAAGTTAGTAGTAAGGGTAGCCAGTTTTCCATGATAACACTCACATGAAACTCTGGAAGACAAGCAAGTCTAAATTGATGCTGAATATATAAATGACTTCATTTGTAAACATTAGTTAATTCTTGCCCATAAATAATAAGTGTAAGCATCGAAGCCTGAAATATTACTGAGATTCACCCAGTTTTGCTTCGGTTTGATATGAGCTGCAATAACGCTTAATTTATTGAAGTCCCACAGCAGTCTGATAGAATGAATACTGTTCATAGATTCAAAAACTTTCGAGGCCCTACTCTACTATTTTTGCAAGGAATTGTTTTTAAACTTGGGCATATTAAATTGTGCAACTGACAAATAGTGTCCAAAATAAGAAAATGCAGTGGCTAAGACATTTCAGACAGAAGTAAAAAAAGAAAAATTTGGAAAGGAATCAGAAAACTGAATGAGAAAGAAAATCCGCTTTGGTGTTATAAGAGACTTGGGAGGTTGTACAGGTGACAGAATCTACATTAGAAGCATTCAACTCATGTATTTAAAAAATTGGAACAGGATATTTTTGTAAGAAAGGAAAATGCACCAGACCTAATAAAAAAGGAACTTGCTTGTGAGTCCTGACTGGGTTGCAATTAAAAATGAA